AGTCACAGCTCACAGCAACTTCAGACTCCTGGGCTCAAGCAATTCTCTTCCCTCAGCCTCCCAAGTAGCTGGGACTACAGGCGCCTGCCACAACATCCGGCTGTTTTCTTGTTGCAGTTGTTGTTTAGCTGACCCAGGCTGGGCTCAAACCCACCAGCCTCAGTGCATATGGCTGGTGCTACAGGCGCCGAGCCTACCCACTTAACTATTTTCTGTTCAGTAGCAATCACTGCAAATCATACAATGATTTGAAAATAAGATAACCAATTGCCAAATAACTTTTCATTTAATTTTTTCTTTTTTTGAGACCGAGTCTAGAGTGCCATGGTGGCAGCCTAACTCACACCAATCTCAAATTCCTGGGTTTAAGCAATCCTCCTGCCTCATTCTCCCAAGTAGCTGGGATTATAGGTCCCCACCACAATGCCTGGCTAATTTTTTCTTTCTTTCTTTTTTTTCTTTTTCTTCTTTTTTTTTTTTGAGACAGAGTCTTACTCTGTTAATCTGGGTAGAATGCCATGGCATCAGCATAGTTCACAGCAACCTTAAACTCTTGGGCTCAAGCATCCTCTTGTCTCAGGCTCTCTACTTTTTAGTAGAGACAGGGTCTTATTCTTGCTCAGGCTGGTCTTGAACTCCTGAGCTCAAGCAGTCTGCCAGCCTTGGCCTTCTAGAATGCCAGGATTATAGGTGTGAGCCACCACACCCAGCCTAATGCAGCAAAATGTTAATCACTGATGAATGCAGTTGAAGGGTATATGGATGCCCATTTTAGGACTATTTAAATTTTTCAGTAGGTGTGACAAATTTCAAAATGAAGAAAAAGTAATTTATACTCTTACTTCTTAAACCATTATTAAAATGAAAATATACAATTTAAAAATTTTTGTATAGACTGTGGATTCCTAATACCAGAATAAGTTCACAAATTCCAACTTGAAGATACTGAACAAAAATCATAGAATACATTTTACATTAGAGAGAAAGACTATAAGATCTATAAGGCCATGCCCTTTTTTTACATACCAGTGTATTTCCTTGCTCCTAGGAAAGTATTTACTATATAGTAGGTACCAAATAAGTATTTGTTGCATTAGAAAATTAAAAAGGCCCAGTGGCTCACATCTGTAATCCCAGCACCTTGCCTCAGCCTCCCAAGGAGCTAGGACTACAGGTGCCCACCACAACACTTGGCTATTTTTAGAGACACAGTCTCACTCTGGCTCAGGTTGGTTGAAACCTATGAGCTCAGGCAATTCACCCACCTCAGCCTCCCAGAGTGCTAGAATTACAGGTGTGAGCCAC